TTGTGGGGAGGGTGCCCTCGGTGCTCCGTGGCTTCCAAGGGGCAGGGCAGAGATCAAGGTGGGACACTGTGTGCCATCCGTATCTGATGGTGTGATGAGGGGTGTGGCCATAGGAGATCACGCCCTCGTGACAGATGGGGTGCCTCCGGGGGCTGATGAGGGCCTCGGGGACTGAGTGGCAGGGGTCTCTGGTTCCCTTCTCCCCTGACCCCTCCAGAGGGTCCCCGTAGTTCTGCAAAGGATGAGGTGTCCCCCTCAAAGCATCACCATTGACCACAGTTACCCCTGCTGACCTGACTGAGGCCCCAGGCTCTACACCAGGGTCCAGCTCTCGCCGTTTCGAGGCTGTGACCCCAGAGACTGATGCTAGACTAGGACAGGAGCCTGTGTGGGGTCACAGCTGAGACAGCCTGGGCCCTGCCCCTATGCTCTGGGACAGGGGGGTGAGGGCCACATCCCTTCTGATTCAAGGTCTATGCCCTCCCTGCCCTTCAGCCCTGCCCCTGCCAGTCTTGTCTGGCCTGGGATGGGCAGACAGCTCGTGTTCCTGTTGGTGACACTCGTGTTCCTGTTGGGAAGCCTGCGGTTCCCAGGACGAGCTGGCCCTCCCCTGTCAAGCACGCAGCTCTGGGTTTACTGGCCTTGGCCATCATGCAGTCCCACAAATCAGGCAGTGGGCTCCACTCCAGCCCCACAGCGAATCCTGCTCCCCACAGTCAGCCTGGTGGGGGACCCTTCCCCAAGAAGGGGCCTCAGGTGCCCGGTCCTCCTTCCCACTAAAGGGGCCCCCAGCTCAGCAGACCAGGACAGACAGAGTCCAAGTGCACGAGACAGTGTGCGGGCACCTGTGCCCTGTCCTGGGTCTGGGGTGCGGGGGGACTGATGGCAAGTGGATGTGACAAGTCAGGGCTGCTGCTCAGCCATTACCACCCCGTGCAGAGGACACAGCAGCTGGGGCCGGCCAGCAGGCCTCTCCTCAGAGTATAAGGACATGGTCAACACCACCAGGAAACGGCGCGGACATGCCAGACACCTCACTAACGAGCCGGGTTGACAGCCAGAGATGTTCAAACAGCGGCTGAGTGTGGGTTTTGGCCTGCCAGTGTGGGTTAGAGGGGTGGACACCTCCCCCTGGGCGCTCCCGGGAGCCCAGCCAAGAGGTGCCGGGCAAGGAGGTGTGGACGGCAGCCAGCCCGGACAAGGCCCTGCTCATTGCTGGGGACTCTACCTGTGTGCTGGTCCACGGCGATGGGACACCACATATGGCGGTATGGACCTGTGGACTGGAGTACTTTCCTGTCTGTGACACAGACCTACAGAATCAGAAACTGCACTTGACAGGGATGCCCAGGGCATCGGAGGCACAGCAGAGCTTAAGAAGCATGATCTAATTCACCTCCCTCGCTGAACATGTGGGGAAACTGAGGCATAAAAAGGTGGCATCGGACAGGTGTTCCAGCTTTCATTTTGGGGTGCCTCCCACTGCATCAGGCTGTCTCCCACAGGGGAAAGGGGGCTGCTGCATGAGCAGAGCAGGGGTGGGATGGGGACATGAGGGGAGGGTGTGAGCACCAGGGAGGCCCCCGGGAGCAAGGGGCAGGACCCGAGGTCTGACCAGGCAGGCTGGCATGTGTGCCCAAGCTGGGAAAATGCCTGGGCCTCTGGGGTGCGAGGAACGACCCTCCCTCCAAACCCACCCACCCAGGCTTCCCGGAGGGACGCAAGGCAGAGGCTTCCAGAAAGGGAGGAGTTTGGGGCTTCCCTCAGCCACTTTTTACAGCAAGTAGCCTCCCTATGGGCGACCCTGGTTGTCCCAGGCCCAACGGGCCCCCAGGCATGAGTCTTGGTCTGGCTTCTAAAGTCACGTACAAGGCCGACTGACTTGGCGGGTTTGGGCAGATGCCCCATCCCCAGCCACGCGGGGGCCATCTCTCTGCTGCTCCTTCAGGGTTTCAGGGTGTGGCCAGGCCGGCTTGCCCGAGGGCCTCTCCATCATACTGTTGAACGGGCGAGAAATAACTCTCCAAGTAATCCACAAAAGAAACGGTTTATTTGAGAAAAGACAAAGAAGCAAGACAGTCACCGCAGTGCGAAAGCACACCTCCTACACGGAGCTCCTACCGGCAGTCACGTGGAGGCAGAAAAGACCCCCGGTTTCAAGATGGCTAATCCCTTTATTAGGATCCCACCCCCAGAATTACCATAAGGATGAACGGGAAATCAGGATTATAGAGTTAACAAGGGCCCAGCCCCAACCATAGTCCTCCCAGCTCTATGGTTAAGCATCTTAAGAGGCCAGTTCACTTTATCAACACGGTGCCCACATTAGTTTGTCCAGCATCCGCCATGGACTGGGGCTGCTTCCACCTTTGGCTGTTGAGATCAGTGCCACCACGAACCGCTAACAGAGTGATGCTGTCTCTTTGGGGGCAATACCTGCCTTCCCTCTGGGAACCTCCACCCACTGTGGGAGCTGGTTTGTCTGAAAGAGCACTGGTGGGGCCCCTGCCCCCAGCACCTGGCCTCGGGGTGTGGGGAGCCCCTCGGGTGAGAGCTCAGCGGAGCCTGGCTGCCTGTGCCCTCCTGTGTGCCAACCCCAGGTGGGCACCCAGGGCAGGCTCCTCCCCCACTCCCAGATGTCCCAGGTGAGCCAGGCTGTGAGCTGGCGCTTGTCCCTGCTGCTCTCCCCTTCTTCAAAGAGCCCCTTGGGTCAACTGCAGCATGGGTCAGGCGCCTCCTCAGAGGGGGGACTGAGGGTGCTCCCTGCCGTGGGGGAGGCACAGGCAATGCACCCCCCACCCCGGTCTGACCAGAGAGGTGGACGGACAGGTGGCACCTGTTGGCAGTAGGAGCTGGAGTGTCCTCCACTGGCCCCGGCTGAGCCCGTCCCACTTGCCAACCTGGGGCACTGCCCAGGGGCAGGGGCAGTGAGATCAGCGCCCTGCAGGGACCTGGTTCAAATCCTGGCTCTGCCACTTTCCGGCTGTGACCAGACGATTTCCTAAACTCCTGACCCTCAGCCTCCCGGTCTGGAGAAAGGGGCTGTAATAGGATTACTTCACAGGGTCATGGTGGGACTTCAGTGGGGCCCTGCACACACAGGGGTCTGGCAAAGGTCAGCCGGGGTCAAGCTCACCCCCAGTGAGACCTGAGATAATGCTGCCTCCAGCACAGGGACCAGGGTGCGCGTGGACAGGGGTCAAAGGCAGGGCTGTTCTTGGATGCTCTCCCGCCCCCACCACGCCCAGCCCTGTTGGGCCCCGATGTGGGGTCCTGTGGGGTCTGTCCCTCTCTGCACTCCATGTTTTTGTGGGTGTCGTCATTGGTGTAATTCCCACAGAGCCAGAGCAGATACAGTCTCCTCGGCCCCCTCTCAGCTCCAGCCCTCACCACTGGCCACACGCACCCCACGGGAGCCCAAGAAGCCAGCCCAAGGTGGGAGCCGGCCCGGTGCCCCTCCCTGGCATGGGGACCTAGTCCAGGCCTCTGTACCTCCACTGTGTCACAGCAGGAGTCCTGCTGAATCTACCTCCTGATTGTCCCCCTGTGGTCAGACCTGCCCTGGCAGTGGTGGATGGGCTGCCCCCACCCACCCCCCTTCCTTTCTGACCCAGCCAGCTGCTGGCCATCGGCCACCACTCTCCTTCCCTTTGCTGATGAAGACCCCACAGTGGTCCCTTGACAAGCGCCTGTGTCCACTTCTGAGTAGACCCTCCTGGGACCACTGACAGAATGGACATAACACAGGTCTATGACTAGCCCGCCCCAAGTCTCCACAACAGCAAACAGGCTGGGACCCCCTTCTGGCTGGGTGTTGCCAGCACCGCATGGGGTGCTCACTGTGTGTGTGGGGCAGTTGGCGAGTCCCCTGCCTGCAGGGCTGGTTTCCTCCTGCAGGGAGTGGCGGTGCCCACCCAGTGGGGGTCATGAAAAACCTGCCCTGGAAGCTTGCCAATCCCGGTGGGAGCTGCCATGAAGCGGTCAATATAGCCCCAGCCCCCCTTCCCACCTCCCCGCTCACCCCTGTGCTGGCCAGGCCCTCCCCAGGGCCTCTGCCTCCCCAGCTGGGTCAGCAGGCGCCTTTCCCCTCGGGCTCAGATCCCACCCCCACCCCCAGGGGTGCCGACCCTTTATGCAGAAGGACAAAGGGCTCTGGGCAGAGCCTCTGGGTCCTGCTGACTCCACACCCTTCTCCGGGAACAGGACAAAGGGGCGAGAGGAAGGGGAGGCTGAGGGCACAGAGGAAAGGGGCTGATGCAAAGGTTCTGATGCCTCTGCCCCTTTCTGTGGGAGGCTGCAAGGGCAGGGAGGCCAACTGAAGGACAGAGGCTGGAGTGGACACAGCACAGGCTGGCAGGTGCCTGGCTCCCCTCCTACCCTTTCACCAGGACGGGGCGGGGCTGGGCAGCTGTCCCAGAGGAACCACGCAGGACTCCAGGTTCCAGCCAAGACCTCGCCACAGTACCCCCGGCCCAACACACACCATGGACCTCAGCTGTCCTGACTGCTGTTGGGAGGCAGTTGGGAGATGGGGTGCAGGGGCCTGGCTCCAGGAGCTCCCAGGGGGCCAGGCGACGCGCTCCACCTACTTGCAATTCCCCTTACGTCCACGTGGGAGCAGGCCTGGTCCAGCAAGAGGTGTCGGGGAAGGGAGGATCTGCACACCTGGCAGATGGCTGGCAGGTGAGCCAGGTGAGGTGGCTTTTCGTTTGCAGACAATAAAAAGAAAAGGCGAGGCCTTTCCTCAGGCACATGACCCCCAGGACCTCCTGCCCACCAGCCCCCTTCCCTTATAGGACATGAAGGGGAAGCGGGGTAAGCGGGCCAGGTGTGGACAGTGGGCAGCGAGCCTGGGGATGGCCTGTTCCCATACCGGGGCTCCTGGGTCCTGAGGTCGTCCTGGGATATTTGGTCACTGTCCCCAACAGCCCCAAACAGCCCCCTCCCCAGCTCCTCAATGCCTTCCCCGCAGCCCACTGTCCAAGCAAAGGACAGGCAACTTGGGTTTGAACTGACTTTATTATTCTGTAAATGTGAATCTTACAAAGCGCTTTACAATTAATGATCACATCCTGTTGTCTCTTTGTAACGGATTTCCACCTTATGAAGCGGCTCTGAGCACAGTAGGAGCCCTGTTTCCTGGTCGCTGGCGGACGTTTCTGTAGGTTGAGTTATTGATACAACGTCAGCCATGGCTAAGAAGCAACAGTCTCGACTGCTGGGTAGCAGGGCAGGGACTGAGGACACAGGAAGAACAAAGGTTTCCCCCTTCTTAATAATAATAAAAAATAAAAATTAAAAAAAAAAGCTAGCATCTTCTGTGGCTGAAATCGAAGTCAGTGGTATGTGAAACCAGCCTTTATACAGAACAGTTTATTTCTTTGTTTCTTAACAGTCGTGAGTTACAGTACTACCTAACCCCTCAGCAGACTCTACAACCGGCTCCTTTGGAAAGTCTCTTTTCCCAAACATTGCGTGCAGAGGGTGAATGGTCTGTCTGCACCCCGTGCCATCCAAATGTTCAAGTCAAAAATATGTATACATTTTATACTTAGTTCTTTTTTTTTTTTTGTCTGCTAAAAATAGTATTGCAAGTTTTGGCTTCTGTTGACATAAAAATTACAATCATGTGCAAAACGCTAACAATGAAGCGAAGCGACTGATCAGAATTCAAGCAGGTTGTCCAATCTGAATGCTTTAGACTCTGTATAAATTTCCTGTTCACTTTTTTCAGAGAAACACAACAAACAAACAAACAAAACCCCCAAACCTTTGCCATGTTAGAAACGTCTTGTACCAAGCCCTAGCGGCCTTGGGTCTCCGGCGGGTGACGCTCAGAGCTGGCTAGCGACACAATGACAGATTTAGGCAGCAGCAACACTCTGAAACAGTAGTTAAAGCTCGAGACGGCTACGAACTCTCGATTCTGCGTGTGGGGTTTGCTGCTGGCAGAGGCAGACAGGGGCTTCCTCGGACTTTTCAGTTGGGCAATTGGCCTTTTTCTACCACAGTGAGTTACTTCCACAAAACCAAGCTGTCTGAGGGGAATCTAAGCAGTAAACAGTTCGGGGTGCACTGGGCCGGTGCTAGAACGTTCCTGCCGTTCAGGGCCGGCACCCCAGAGTCCCCACAGAGCATGGGACAGGCTGTGTGGGCCTCCCTGCCCCTCCCAGTCCACGCTTCTGCCCTCCTCCCAGCTCTGAACACAAACCCAGAAGAGTGTTCCCGCAGGAGAAGTCCACCAGGCTCATAAGCTCCCCCTCCCCGGCCGCAGTCACCCAGCCCCCGGACAGCCGGGCAGGGGCTGCAGGCTGCTCGTCCACAGCTGCGTCCACATTGAGGGGCAAGGTAAGACAACAGAATCCAATGCAAAGTTAGGCGACCACAGAGAACTCTGGGCGAGGCCAGACACAGTGCAGAAAACATACAGAGTTCAAGTATGGAGGCACGCAGGCCAGGGGGGGGCGGGCCCCACCCGAGCTCACAGTATCTGTCACATCTCCGGTCCCTTCCAAGGGACCTCTTGCACTCCACCCCAGCTGCCTCCTGCAGCACCTCCCACCCCGCGGGGGAGGGCAGCTGCCTGATCCGGCCAGCGGCCACATCAGCTCCCACGCCGCCCAATCCCTTCTCTCCTCCCCAAAAAGGCGCTGCTATGACTTAGCTCTATAATAGACTCTATGTAGTATATGTGTATTGCTAATAGTCAAGCTTAGGAATAAAGGTGCAGACATGTCATAAATACTGAGCGGCTCCTCTCGCCATCTCCAGGGTCTGGGTGTCAGGATCACGCTGACAGGACAGGAATTAGTCGTCTTGTAAACAGAGGAGGGGGGAGGGTCCGGTTTTCTGAATTGGTTTTCCTTGGGAAAAATGATCAAAAGATGCTAAGGCACTCTGGAAGGCCCCTCCGAGCCCAGGCTGCCGCCGCCCGCCCCACGGAGCATTCAGGGTGCGGAGAGACGCCCCGCAGATACAATCATCAGCCACGCCCGTCTGCAAACGCTCCGGACCAGGTCCACCAAGGGACACATTAGTGCAAAACGCTCGGCCCGGCCCACCCGGGGCACCGGGAGAGCTCGGAACCCATTCACATTTAATGATTAAAGTGTCACCTATAGCTCTTGCCTTCCTTACCCAGAACACAAAACAGACGGCGATTATAAACAACTAAGGGGCAGAGGTCACAGGACATTGTGCTGGCCTGGGCAGCGGTCAGGCCTTCTCTGTGCGGCCACCGCCTCCTTGGCTGGGCCAGCAGCACCCCTCCCTGTCCTGGCCCCAGGCGGGGGGCCATGCCCACTTTGGAGCAGAGGAGAGAGAGGGAGACAGAGAGAGCCCTTCTGTCAACTGCCAGGACAGGTGGGCCTGCCTCCTGAAGCTCCCCAGGGATGGTCAAATTAAAGTGCAAATTTGGGGGGGGGGGTAGCAGATAAAGGGACACTCCAGAGGGGACATAGGTGGGAGTCAACTTCACCCACCATCACCTCCACTGCCCTGTGGCCACCTGAGGATGCTAGGGATTGCGGCCTCCTCCCAATTCCAGGAGGACTTGGTCCTGGTTCCTAGTGGCTGTGGGCCCCGGGCCCAAGATGGGGGAGGAAGAGGCAGACAGAGCCCCCCACACACACCGGGGCCAGGTGGTTAGCTTGAAGCCCCAGCCAGAGCTGCAGCCCTTTTGGACGCAAGAGCAGGGCTTGGACCTCCCTGCTTGGGAGAGGGCTGCGATTAGCTTCCACACGCCTGCCTGCAGCTCAGGGTCCTCCCACCCCTTTCCAGGAGCTGCCAGATCTTTCCGGAGGGCAGGCACACACTTGGCCTGGCTGGAGGGGGCCCAGGACGCGGTATGTGGTCTGGGAAGGAGCCCCTCCAACCAGGTCCCCCCAGGGCCTCTCCCACAGGAAGGGCGGCCGTCAGCAGGAACGAGGAACTCGCGTGGGAAAGAGCCTAACACCTCCACCCCAGGCTGCTCAGGCTGGGACCCGGCACACAGCTCTGCAGTTGGGGAGGCTCCCGGATCTCCTGTGGGTCCTGGGTGGGGCTTAGCCCCCCCTGCCCAGCCCTCTGCATCCACACAGGCAGAGCGCTGGGGACAGAGCCACCAATGGAGGGGGTGTTCTGGCCGTGCCAGAGGGCTGTCTGGACTTGGGAGGAAGGCAGCCCCTGGACAAGGACACAAAGCCCCTGGGCCAGGGGCTCCTTGAGCACTTTGGACAACCTGTGCCCCTCTCCCCTGAAACCAGCAATTAAGCTTCAAAGGGAACTTTCCAGCCTCAAGCAAACCAACAAATTTAACGGGCCCTTCCTTACTGCCCCCCACACATTCCAGAGCTTCTGCACCTGCTGCCCCTGCCAACTGTCCCGGGTCAGGCGTGTGCCCACCACCCACCCGCCCACAGCCTCAGAGGCATGTGCTCCAGAGCTCAGAGCAAAGGACGGAAAGCCCTCCCCCAGCCCCAGCCTGCCCCCCTGCTCTCCACCAAGCAGCCCTGCTCCCGCTGGCCCAAGTGGCCTCCACCTTGTCACACACCCTGGCTGCATTTCTGGGCCCTCCCCCCGGTCCCCACCCCAATGGGAGGTGAGTGGGACCTGGTCCGAGGGTGGAGGGACATGGTATACAGATGACCGTACCCCAAGCCACAGCGGGCTGGGGGCAGGGACATCCACTTCTCCCTAATTTTTTGCTCTTTGGGTCTGAAAGTTTCCAAACCATGTATGAAATAGATCTGAATTGGGACAAAAACAAATCAACAAACAAACAAGATCCCAGCGAGGCAGAGGACGGTGTGGGTGCACCGGGGTGGCAGTCCCGCCCCACAGGACAGCGAAACCCAGGTGGGCCGAGGGCCTGTGGAGCTGTGGGGGCAGGGGAGCAGAAAAGCCAACAGCCGTCTCCCCTCCCGCAGTGACAGCAGCCCATTACCGCGCTGTCACCACTGCTCCCCGCACACACTCAGACGCACACTCTCACTCGCTTGCACACACCCACACCCCACACATACCACGGACCTGGTAGGCCTGACCCCAGAGTCTCTCGGAAGAAAGAAAAACAAAGAGTTTGGCCCCTGGGGGCCCGGCCCTGGCTGTGGCCCTGGGGGGAGCGGGCGGGCGGGTCCTCACGGATGGGTAAGGACACGTGCCCCCACACCACAGGCCCCTGGCTTCATCCAGGCAGAGAGCAAGCAGGGCGGGAGGCTGGAGCAGGGCTGGGCACCAGGGCCTGGTGGCCTCTCGCCCCCTCCCCAAGAAGGAGAAGGGGAAGCTACAACTTGGAGACTGACCTCGGGTATCAAAAGGGGCCCTGGGGCCTTTCTCGCAGCCGGGCGCCAGTGGCCTAATTGTTTACAGTGTCACGAATGCATTTGTTTCCTTCATAGATTTTAAATACAAGCAGAATAAAAATCACATTTTTTTCAGGCAACAGCAGTTCAGTAGGTAAGTGGCTTGATCACATTTGTTTGTATTAGTAACGCATGCAAGCAGCTAGTACGGTCCCTGACGAGCCCTCTACAAGGTCCCTGCATAGGAGCCCTCCTGTCTCCTGGCCGCTGGCGTCTGGGGCCGGCTGGAGCTGGCGCTGCCCTGCTCGAAGGGCTGCGGGGGGCTCTGGCCATCGGGGGGCAGCGTCTCAGGCGCTGCCACCTCCTGGATGACAGAGCCGGCACCATCGGCCTCCTCGCCGGCTTCAAAGGCGGGGTTGGCGGTGGCGCCCAGGTCGACATTCACGTTGTCAGTTCTCAGAGCCACAATGGTGGCAGCCTCGCCCCTGCACTCGGTGTACAGGCGCTGCTCGAACACCTGTGCTGCCGTGGCGGGCGGGAACTCGGGGTCGAGGGGCGCGCTGGCGGCCGAGCCCATGACGCTGCGGTACATCTCCACGCCCTCGGGCAGCATGGACTTGATCTTGGGCAGCCAGCGCTTCCGGACACGGCGAGCGTTGGTGCACATGTCCGCGGCGATCACGTTCATCTCACTCTCCTTGAAGCTGGGGGCGAAGTTCTGGCAATACACTGCGAGGACAGGGCGGGGAGGCGGGCGTGAGGGTGGCCTGCGGCGGGGGCTCCACGACTGCTCACCCTTGGGTCTGCTTCCCAAGGGGCCGCGGAGCCGAGACACCCAGCATGGGCCTCAGGGTCAGGGCACCCATGTGCTGGAGCGGCCACACCTGGGCCAGTGGGGACAAAGGATGGGGGACCTCCAGGGACTGCCCTCCATCCTGCTCCCCACTGGCACCGAGACCATGTGGCCACTCAGGGCTGTCCTGGCCTCAACTTGAAGACCAGCAGTCACCCTTCTCACAGCTCAGACCTGAAGGCCACGTCACGCTTTGGGACAGTCTCTGGCCAGAATGTCCAGGGGAGGAGAGATAACTGGCTGTGACCACAGAGGGTCCAGTGGGCTCTGGCCCCTCCCTGACAACTGGCGGGCTGTGTGGCCTTGGAAAGGCCCCTGAGCATCTCTGGGCCTCACTTTCCCCCTCTGTCCCACCCACCTTGGATCCGAGGGTCAGGTTGGACAAGCCTGACAGGTATCCCTGCCCTGGCCAGAGCTGGACTCAGGGCAGGGCCTGGATGAGGAGAAGGCAGAGGCGGGAGCAAGCATCTGTGGCACCGTCGTCATCATAGTAACGTCACTAATAACAATAATAACCCCTCTCCACCTCACTCCACCAGCAGCCACAAGACCCAGCTCTCCAGCAGCAAGGAGCCGGGAGGCACGTCCCCGGGTGAGCCCCCACCTGCACCCCAACCCAGCATCTTCCTGGAGCCCTGGCCGGCACCCCACACTGGGACATAATCACCTACTGCAAAGGCCCCTCTTTGCTCTAAAGCAAGGAATTTTTTTTTTAAAAAAGATTTTACTGGGGAATTGGGAAAGGGGAACAGCCAAGTTGTTGTCCTTCAATCTTAGTTGTGGAGGGCGCAGCAAGCTCACCTCCAAGTCCAGTTGCCATCCAGCTGCCCATCAGCAGCTCGCAGCTGCTCAGCTCAAGGTGCCGTGTTCAATCTTAGTTGGGGGTGAGCGTAGCCCACCATCCCATGCGGGAGTCGAACCGGCAACCTTGTTAGGAGCACGTGCTCTCACCAGCTGAGCCATCCTGCCACTTGTTGGAAGCTCAGAGGCAGCTCAGCTCAGGTGCAGCTCACTGGCCCATGTGGGAATCAAACCGGTGACCCTGTTGCTCAGAGCTCGCGCTCTTAACCAACTGAGCCACTTGCCCGGCCAAGGGATGTCTTTTAAGCAAGAAGCTGAGACAGCATTTCGGGTGCCCACATGTACAGGAGGATGTGAGCTTGGTCAGGGTGGCCCTCACCAGGCACTGGCTGACTTCTGAGATGGGGGTGTGGGACAGGGCGGTGTCAGCCGCAGAGATGGCCGGGCTCCACCCCCGCACGCCCAGGAGCGGGAGGCAGAAGCCGCTGAGCAGATGGCAAAGGCTCAAAATAACCTCCAAATGTAAATAAGGGGTTTTGTTCAAAAAGGAAAATTAGATCTATTTCACATATTAAAATAGTTTCGCAGCTGAATTCATCACGCTTGGAAACCTACCAGGAACTTTCACACCTCGAGCCCTGGCTCCCGGGAGCTGCTCTCCCCGCTCTGGCGCTGGGGAGAGGCTGAGACCGAGGGCTTCCCAAGCTCCCCCAGACCCCCTCCAAGGCCCAGGCCCTTACGTTTCACAGCATTGAGGACTCGGCTGTCCAGTGGCTTGCGGCTCGGGTCACTGGTGGACGAACGGATCCCTGTGCCACAGCTGTTGGCCAGCGTGTTCCTAGCAGAGGGATGGAGAGGGGGGCAGAGTGAGGCCTCGGCCACAGGTGACCGTAGGAATGGGCTTCCAGCCGCATGCTGGACGGGGGCCACCCGGCCTCGCCCATGCACTGGTGCTCACTCCCAGGAGTCTGGGTGCAGTGTGGGGAGCAGGACCGTGCCCTGAGTCCCATGGATGGGAGAAAGGAAAGCCCCTTAGGGGAAGGGGCTGCTCTGACCCATCCATGGATCTGACCCAGAACAGAGCGAGGGTAGCTATTCATTTTGTTGGCGGGGGGGGGGGCTCCCCAAGCCCTCTCCAGACCCAGGTCCTGTCCAGGTGGACATGCCTCCTTCTCAGGACCATGGCGGTCCTCACTCTGACGCTGTGGCATGAAGTCAGAAGCTTTGAGGAGCAGACAGCTCACCGCTTAAGGAGACTGTAGGAGCGTCTGTGCCGTGGAAGGACCCACCTGTCAAAGAAGGTGGCAAGGAGCCGCCGCAGGAGCACCTTGTGCTTCACACCTGCACAGAGGTGGCAGTTCATCAGCTGGCCGCGAGTGATGTAGACCCCGGAGCCTGCAGCCGCCAGACAGAAGACAGTGAGGCCCAGGGCATGGCCTCCCCAGGGTGCTGCTAGGGCCAGAAGGGGCTGACAGTGGGGAGGGGCCAGAGAGGATGGGGGTGCGGGGGTAGGGGGGCAGCAGGCCTTCCTGACCACAGCCACCCAGCAGGTGCCCACCTAGGCCTGGGGCCCCGCCGGGCGGGGAATGTCACTAGGCTTGCCTTGCTGTGTTGGGCCCTGTCACTGGACGAGGCAGCTATGGTGGCATGCTCAAAGGATGTCCCCAAACTGCCCTTGCAACTTCATGGGAACTCCTTGGCTTGGCCGAGGGTCAGGGAACACTCTGCCCTGCCTCAAGGTCACTTCGCAAACACCAGAGTCACAGACAGTGATGGGGCGCCGGCTCATGGGGGCCGGGCTGGGGCTCGACCAGGCCCAGGACGCTGGGAGGAAGCCGCCAGCCCGGGGCCCACGTGGTGCTGTTTACCCTGAGTAAGCCTAATGAGGCCCGGGCACCCCACTGGGCTGCCCACAAAGGGCGGCGACAACAGCAGGGGGCTCTGCCAGGAGCGTGGGGAGGCCTCCACTTACACCCATGTCGCCCATGTGGAAAGGAGCTCACACAGGAGTCAAGGGGATAAAAAACAGTATGAAAAGCAGTGAAGGACACACAGGCTCCCAGGCCTCAGGGGACTCTCTCCTAGGACGGCCATGTCCCTGCTGGCCTTTCTCTGTGACCCCAGTGTGCACCCACTGTGCTGAATGGGAAAGAGGACAAGGCAGGGCCCCCCTGGGGGGCAGGCTGGAAGGATGAAACAGGGCCCTGCTCTTCGGTGGGGGGGACGGGGCAGGTGGTGGATGCAGGAGGCTTCCCGAACTTAGCAACGTCTCCTCCATGGGCCAACGCTCTGGGGAGCTGGCAGCCATGGGTTCAAGAGGCACATGGCTGACTTATCAGGGCGTCTGGTCAGTGCCGTCTGACAGTCCCTGGCCACGACATGCCAGGTGTCCCTGAGGGCCTCCCGTCTACTCATCTCATGTCTGCAGAGTCTCAAATTCAACAGCAGAGCAGATCGCCCTGAGCCACGAGAGCTAGACACCCCCTCACTGTAGGGAGATCAGCAAAGGGGAACTGGGTACGGTGGGGCCCAACAACCTGAGGTCCAGCTGTGGGCCAGACCAGGGGAGGCAGCTAGCCCTTGCCCCTTCTCAGCCCTCAACACTGACAGGCAGGCTGCTGCAGGAAGGCGTCTCCTACAACCATGCCCACACGGCAAGCCCTCAGCCAGGGAACCCAACCCAAGGCCTCTCACCATCCATCACAGCCCCACACTGGCTCCCTGCACAGAGGTCCCGCCAGGTCCTGCGGAGAACAGCCTCACCACCCAGCTGCTGTGCTCTCAGCTGAAAGGGGAGGCTGCCCTTCGCGCCAGTGGTTCCCTGCAGAGGGGACAGGTCTGGAAGAGCCCCACGATGCTGCTCGGGGTGCAGCGGTTGGGGGGTGCCAGACAGGAGTGGAGGACCCGGCAGCTGGCAGAAGAACCGCGCAGAGCTGTGAGAGTGGGAGGTGTCCATGGCCCTGGCCAGCCCATGTTTGGGCTTCCCCACCCGCCATGAGTGAGGGGAGAGATCCCTGGAGTATGTCCCATGTCTATCAGCCAGAGTGACAGTGTCATCATTTCCATCTTCCACTTGAATAGCCTTAAAAATCTAAAAACCGAATCCCGATACTGACGAGAACTATTTCTGACAAAGGTGCTGGCCCTAACGCGCCTCTGCCTCAGTCGTGTTGACTCTGCGAGGGAAGAGCCCCATCTCGGACCGTGTGCTGCTCCAAGCCTCTAGTCCCACCCTGCAGCCTAGGCAACGGGACACTTCGGGGGGGGGCTAGTAAACTGTACTCCACTTGGATTTATCTGTGACCTAAATTAAAACACAGTCGTGATTGCCGCCCCTGCCAATCAGAAGCGAGACCAGCCCAGGGGATTCAATTAAAATGCTAAATTAATTCAATTGAATAACTCCCCTTAATGACACATTCTTCTAAAAGGAAATTAGAGGAAATATAAGCTGTTCTATCTTGGACTGATTGGTGATGAGTACATTGTTCACAGTTCTGAGGAACAAATACACGAGAGGGCATCTGCAAACCAGAGCGGGGCACCGCCAGGCCTCACCTGCCACCAGCTCAAGCTTCTCGCCGGGGTCGCCCTCCGAGTAGAGCTTGGGGTGGCAGCGGTACCCGATCTGACTGATGAGGCTGGCGGGCAGCGCCACGAGGTCTCTGCGGATGAGGACACAGGAGCGGCTCTCCAGTGGCACGGGCTCTGGCTTCTCTTGCACTGTGGGCACAGAACCGACCCGCTCAGGGGGTCCCTGGGAGGAGCCCCTGGCAGGCCCCGCCAGACCCGCTCCGGGCCCACCCTCCATGGTCCCTGGGGCCCAGGGTAAGCTTTCTCCCTGCCCGCCCTCCGTACCCTCTCTCCCTGCCCTCCTGGTCCGCCCTTTGCAGGAAGGACCAGAGAAACAAGTGAGCCGAGGAGGAAGGCAGGCAAGAGATACCAGCCCAGGCCTGGGAACTAGGTGCTGAGGGCCTGGGAGGTTCCTGGGAGACATACACCAGGTAGGGGCTGGAGGGTCAGACAGGAATGAGGGCACGGAGCAGGTCTGCAGGTGGAGATGCAGCCCCTCCTGAGGGGGCGCTTCGCCAAGGCTGCACCATGGACGCCTGGCCTAGAGGCAGCCCCATAAGTATTTGCCAGCAGTAAAGTCGGGCAGGGGCACAGCCGGGCGGGGCCGATGTGGCACCTGGGAATGTTCCGGACAAACCACTGCTGGGGGATAGTAAGAGACCTCTGAAGGAGCCAGACCTGCAGCTACAGTAGATGGGAGAGTACAGCCCCTCTGATGTCCCCAAGCTACACTGGGCACAAGTGGGCAGGCCAGACATCAAGCAGAGGGCTGCCCTCTCGACCATCCACCTGGGCCTGGCCTGCCACGTGCTCGCTGGGTCTCTCTCCTGTGGCCGGGGTGGGGGAATCCCCTCTGGTGCTCACGGAGGCCCCAAGTCTATTGGCACTTGCTGGGCACCCACCACACCCACTGCTACACCAGGTGCTGGGAGGCCAAGGAGGAAGCGCCTCGTCAGGGGTTCCGGGAGCCAGGCAGGGTGGGAGCCGACATTGCGTGGAGAGGACCCAGCCCCACCAGGCTGCACACCCCTAGTCCTGCCCTGTACCCCCAGCTCCCCGCAGCCCCCTCACTTCCTTACAGACCCCCCTCATTCGCTGCAGGATCAGCAGGAGGCCTGCACAGAGCAGGGCTCCAGGGCACAGGCCGTCCCCTCCCCCAGCAGCCCCTTCGCACTGCACACAGCCGCCCGCCTAGCTGGCACTCTTCACCTGGCCCAGACAGAAGGCATGCCCCCTGCACACGGGCGATTCTGGGTCATCTCCTGGGAGGGCCACCTGCTCCCGGCCAGCTGGCATCACTGAGGACTCACACCTGCTCCGGGGCGGCCCCCGGCACACCTGGCTGGGTAGCAAGGCCTACGGGTAGCGGCTCCCAGGGCCCATCCCTCCTTCTCCCACTCGCTACAGGCAGGGTCTGCATGTTGGAAAGGCCTCTGGCTGCTCTGATGGCCACTCAGGGTTGGAGCGGTTGGACGGATCATCCTTGCTGGGAAGGTGGTTCTTTTTAGCAGCCTTAGTGGCCCCTGGGCAGAGGAGATGGCCTGCAGAACCTTCTAGTAAGTCAGATACCCAGAGGGCAGAGCCAGGCTGCTTCTCAAGGGTAGGTGCCCCCGTCCCCTCTGTTCTGTGATCCCCCCTTAGGTCACTGGAAAATTCAGCAGAGGCACCTGAACCTGGGGTTGGGGGAGGCCCGGTGGGAGTAGGACCTGGGGAAGGTGAGTAGGGGCTGCTGCAAAGAGGCCTCAGGAGGGAGGGAGGCAAGGAGAAGTCCAGGCAACTCTCTCCTCGCCCCTGCCTCCCAGGCTTCCAGAATCGGGAGTAGCAGGGCATGACCCCAAGTTATCTATGCACCAAGCTCCCTTGGGGGAGGGGTGACCCGCACAGCCCCTGAAGGGCCAGCGTCCCCAAAACCCCAGCAGAGTCCTTGGGACCCAGCTGCTTCTCCAGCCCCTGCCCAGGTCTAGAGTCACCCAAATCCCCACCCAGGGAACCCCAGGCCACCCCTCCACCCTGTGCCCTGGACTCAGCCCCTCTGCTGAGAGGCACCTGCTGGTCTGTGTGTTGGGGCGCATGCTGTGCCTTCAGACCAGCGGCAGCCCAATTCCAGGCGGAAGATGGGCGTCTCCCCAGTCAGCAGACCCCCAGTCGCACAGATCAGGGCAGAGTCAGAG